ACCTTGAGGATAAATACTGGATAAATAATGAAACACATCAATATGGCCATTACTGCAAGCTGTATGTAATACAGTGGATCCTTCATTATCAGTAGCTGTAAGGAGATCATGATGAGTAGAACTACCAGTGACTGAGAACAGTAAAGCTTCAGCGGTATCCTTATGACCAGAGGCAGCTGCTAAGTGTAATGGTGTCTGTCCTTTCTTGTTAGTAATTAATAAGTTATTGTTAGACAGACTGGCTTTTAGTAATAGTGATACCATATTCTGATGTATAACACAAGCATAATGTAATGGTGTGTTACCATCTTTATCTTGTTCATTAATAAGTACAGCATTATGTGGATTATTGTATATGTCATGAGGACTGTCTAATTTTATCTCACGTAGCCAGACAACACTCATTGAGGGTATACTCTTACTCAGTAAATATTCTAATATTTCATATTCATTAGCTGATACAGCAACATGTAGTGGTGTACGGTCTTGATGTTCAGTTGCATTAGGATTACAATAATTATTATCAATGAGATACTTCAATACATTCAAGTGACCCTTCTTTACTGATATGTGAACTGCTCCAGACCCTGCATCATTGGTAGCTGATAGATTACACTTCTTACTAATAAGATATTTAATAACTTCTAACTGATTGAAGTACACTGCAATAAGGAATGGAGTACGACCATCATTAGTGTCAGGTAGTTCAAGTGATGATGGTATGTGTTCTATAATGTACTGGATCAAGTTCAATCTTCCATCACTACATGCTAAGTGAATAGGAGCCATTCCCTCATCATTCACAGCACACAGATCTAACTGATGATTTTCTACCAGATGTTTGAGTATAGGAAGAGAGTTACTGTACTCACAGGTAATGTGAAGAACTGTTGATCCATTAGAAGTCTTAGCTGCTACATTACACTGAGGAAGACTAGTGAGATAAAGTACAACAGGAACATGGCCTCCTTCACATGCTTTATGAAGAACTGTACTATCAGTATCAGTAAGAGTGGCATTAACATCACACTGATACTTGTTGATCAGTTCCTGTAAACAATGTAGTTTACCTCCATATGCAGCTGAATGAGCTAGTGTGTACTTGTAATTGTTAGTGTGATTAGTAATATCCACACTATACTCCTGACTGTACCATTTCAGTATATGAGTATGACCATTCTCTGCTGCTCCATGTAATGCTGTGAAACCATATTTATCAGTAACTAAAGGCTCAAGCTTATACTGTTGTGTTAGTAATTGTACTAGATCAAGATTACCTGAGAAACAGGCAAATGTGACACATGTTTCATCACGTGCATCCTTAGCATTAATATCACATTTCATTTCATTTTTTAGAAATGTGACCAATTGAATATTACCACTCTCACAGGTTAAATGTAATGGTACTTGACCCTCATTGTCAGTAGAGTGTAGTAAACTAATGTATTGAGGATACTGACTGGTGATATGCTTGATAAAGTGAGTGTGACCTTTTAATGATGAAAAATGAATAACATTCCAACCTTTGTGATCTGTTAGGCTCAGACTACACTTGTAATCCTTCACGTATAATTCCAGTAGTAAAATATCACCAGATTTAGCAGCATAATGAATTGGTCGCTGACCATTACTGTCAGCTTGATGAGGATCTAACTGATAGGTAGTTATTAATTCTTTAACAAGAGATAAGTTAAGAGACCCTGAAGCATAATGTAAAGCAGTGAGGCCATTCTTAGTAACTGCAGTAGGAGACAAACCTTGTTCAGTAATAAGATACTGAACTAAATCAAAGTTACCACTCCATGCAGCATGATGTACTAATGTGCATCCTTCATTATCTGTTTTATTAATATCACAATGCTGTACCTCAATGAGATATTGAGTGGTATTAATATGACCATGACGGAAAGAATGATAAAGACATGTCATACCATACTTATCAGTGATATTAGGATCATTGTTATGATTATTAATAAGATATTTAACAGAATTAATGCTACCTGACCAGCAGGAGTAAACTAATGGTGTATGACCATAAGTATCAGTATCATTAGTATTGAGATTATACTGAGATATGATATAACTTAATACATTAGTAGAACCTGACCAGGCAGCATAATGTACTGCAGACATACCATCATTAGTTAATGTACAATTGATATTATATTCTTCTAATGCTTTCACTAGTAATGTACTGCCACTCTCTGATGCATAATGAAGTAATGACCGACCATCATTTGTAGTGGCATTGATGTCAAAGTTAGGGCAAGTGCTAGCTTTCTTGAGAAGTGAAGAAAACATTTTAACTCTTTCATTTCGTTTGATGAAATCAATATTTGTTTTTATTCTAGCATTATTAATAATCTCAATAACTGGTGCATCACTTGGTGCCATAAGCTTACTATACACAATACAAGCTGGAATATGTATACCTGCATAACATGTATAATGTAAACATGACCAGCCATTATTATCATTAACTAATAATGCTTCATTACC